TGGATAAAACTTACCAGGAAAGGTTAAAAGGATCTTAACATGTATAGCTTGGAGGAAAGACGAGACAGGGGGGATATGATAGAAACATTTAAATATATAAAGGGAATCAACACAGTAAAGGAGGAGACTATATTTAAAAAGAAGAAAAACTACCACAACAAGAGGACATAGTCTTAAATTAGAGGGACAAAGGTTTAAAAATAATATCAGGAAGTATTACTTTACTGAGAGGGTAGTGGATGCATGGAATAGCCTTCCAGCTGAAGTGGTAGAGGTTAACACAGTAAAGGAGTTTAAGGATGCGTGGGATAGGCATAAGGCTATCCTAACTATAAGATAAAGCTAGGGACTAAAGAAAGGTTTTAGAAAATTGGGCAGACTAGATGGGCCGAATGGTTCTTATCTGCCATCACATTCTATGTTTCTATATACGCAGATACACAGATATAAAGACTGACACTCACACTAGCACACATGCAGGTGCAGACTGACACAGATACACACACTAACACATACAGACACACAACCTGACACACATACAGAGACATATATACAAACACTGACACATAAGGATACTCAGACACACTGATGCATATAATGACACACATGCAGATACATAGATAAAAAACACTGACTACATATAGATGCACACACAGATATACACATGCAGATACACACACTGACAACATACAGATACACAAATACATACAATCAGGGCCGGACTGGCCCACCGGGATACCGGGAAATTTCCCGGTGGGCCGTCGGCACCTGGGGCTGGGCAGACACCTGGGTCTGCTGGCGGCTGCTGGAGGAGCTGTGCTGTCTCTGCTCCCCCGCCTTCGCGCGCTACTGAATGAGACCGGTGACGGAATATGATGTCATATTCCGGCCCCGGTCTCATTCAGTAGCACGCGAGGGCGGGGGAGCAGAGACAGCACAGCTTTCAGTGGCCGCCAGAACAGCTCCTCCAGCGGCCGCCAGAACAGCTCCTCCAGCGGCCGCCATCCCTGCTCTCTGCCCTGCATGACCCCCCCGGCCCACAGGTAATATGTGTTATGCTGTCAGTGTGTGTGTGTGTGTCTGTCTGTCTCTGTCATGGTGTGTGTGTGTGTCATGGTATGTGTCTGTCTCTGTCATGGTGTGTGTGTGTCATGGTGTGTGTGTCATGATATGTGTGTCTGCTTCATGATATGTGTGTCTGCGTCATGGTGTGTCATGGTGTGTGTGTGTCATGGTATGTGTCTGTCTCTGTCATGGTGTGTGTGTCATGGTGTGTGTGTGTCATGGTATGTGTGTGTCTCTGTCATGGTGTGTGTGTCATGGTGGGTGTGTGTGTGTCGGTGTGTCATGGTGTGTGTGTTTGGCATGGTCTGTCTGTGTCATGGTGTGTGTCTGTCTGTGTCATGGACTGTCTGTCGCGGTATGCGTGTATCTGTCGTGGTGTTAGAGCGGCTGGAAGCGATCATGATCAGGTACGTCCATGGTCCTTAAAGGATCACTATAGGTTCAGGAACACAAACATGTATTCCTGACCCTATAGTGTTAAAACCACCATCTAGCCCCCCTAGGCCCCTCATGCCTCCATAAATATAGTAAAAATCTTACTGTATTCAAGCCTGAAGCTGTAATTCTGCATGCTGTTAGACTAGGAAACAAGCAGTCTGCTGACATCATCAGAAGTGGTAGCCTGATCCAATCACAGTGCTTCCCCATAGGATTGTCTGAGACTGACAAAGAGGCAGATCAGGGGCAGAGCCAGCATGATTCAAACACAGCCCTGGCCAATCAGAATCTCCTCATAGAGATTAATTGAATCAATGAATCTCTATGAGGAAAGTTCGGTGTCTGCAAGCAGAGGGAGGAGACACTTAATGTTTGGATGCATTTTAGGCAGCCCTGACCCAGGAAGGATCTCTAACAGCCATCTGAGGAGTGGCCAGTGAAGTTTTCACTAGGCTGTAATGTAAACACTGCATTTTCTCTGAAAAGACAGTGTTTACAGCAAAAAGCCTGACGGTAATGATTCTACTCACCAGAACAAATTCAATAAGCTGTAGTTGTCCTGGTGACTATAGTGTCCCTTTAAGGACCGTTTTTGTTGGACGTACCTGATACATTCTTGGTCACTAAGGGGTTAATTATACTTTCTCCATTGTCACTTGCCTTTATTTAACTTTATTCTCTTCATCTTTGCTTTGCTTTTGTTCTCAATACCTGGGTGCCTCCATTTTGTCTCATCTGGCCATGAAGTTTGCAGTTTTCCTTTCTGAGGGATGAATTGAGAGTAAATTAGCTTAGTAACTGAAATATAACTTTGCTTAAGCTCCACCCATTGCAAACAAAATGCCACAAGTCACGCTCTCCATGAGGAAAAATAATCCTTACTTTATCTTCTGCATAAATAAAAAAAACTATGATGAAAAAAATGAAATAGAGGAGAAAATGGATTCATTTACAAACAAAACCTGCAAAATGTCAGAGTCGCTTTAAAGACTGCCGCTGACTGCTTCTTGCAATGAGACTCATTTGCATTCACATATGCAACTGATCCCAGCGGGAGGTATCCTCCGTCGTTTACATTTGAAAATATGCATATCTTCCAAACTATCCCACTATGAAACTCTGGGGATTGATAGGATACATACCGGCTTTAAATTGTTCAAACTGCAATTTGGAAACAGTTTTTGCTTCTATTAAAAAAGCAAATGTTATTTTTAACATTTAATGTTCGTTTTTTTTTGTCCTAATACAGGATGGGCCAACATTCAGAGTATGATTGGACAAGTAAATAACTTATTTGTTAGTAAAACATTTTTGTTGACGGTACATGTTATAACTGAGTCTTGGGAGATTCATTGTGGGTAATTTCAAAAAGGAACAACAAGAAAAATTGTGGAAGTTTATTGGTGTGAGATATCTGGATAGGATTGTTATTTGTTTACGTCCTCTAGTGAAAAATTGTCCTGAAATGTAGTCTCAACATGATGGGGCTACTGTCCATACTGCCAGGGCCACAAAGGACCTCCTGAAACAACTGTTTGGCAAGCACATAATTTCAAGAAATTCCCAGATTAATTGGCTGCTACATTTGCCAGAACTTTCCACTCATGATTTCTTCTCTTGGGGATATCTGAAGGAGTGGGTGTAAGTGAACAAACCTTGAGCAGCCCAAGGAGAATATCTGCGCTAGAGTCTCAAACATTAACGCATTTTATAAACAATGCAATCGAAAGACTCCGGTGGCAAGTGGAGCTCATTTAAAAGATGTCATCATGTCATCTACCCCTGGGACTGCCTCCTATCCAAACCAACCGAGAGGGCCTTACCTGACACGAGCAGAATGACTCAATATGAAATATCTGGTGGCCCATAGAGCCTTAGCCCAGAAATGGTCGTGCCTTGAGGTACCCTCTCTCACACTGGTAACAGCCAAAATCAAGGATAACTACCTTAAAGATAAATTAACCTCACTGGTCAGCAACACCACTAAAAAATTCAACAAGGTATGGGACCTATGGGAACAATACATAGATAAGGTGGAAGGTTAAACTGGTGCGTGGACCGTAGAGGGGGAGGGGTAGAAGTGTGGGAATGTATGAGCCTTCCCTGAGCCATGGGTTTGTTTTTTGTATTTATAGTTTATGTTCAATAGTTATATAAAAATGATGATTGATTGTAGCATATCGGCAATATGTACTTCATGTGTCCCATGAACACCAGACTGAACATAATATGTAAACATGTTTAATTGTCGCTCAGGAAAAAGCAACTGTGCCGGATTGTTATGTAATCAGAAGCACTATGTCTTCCACGCCTCTTATTGTACTCTGTTTCAACATAAATGTAAATGTACAATTGATCGTTGGCAAAATAAAGAATTGAAAAATAAATAAATAAAACATGGCATCTTAAGAATTCATTGTATTTAATATCTTTAAAGTTGGTGTATTGGTAAATGAACTCTAATCTGAATATATAAATTGATAAATGAACCCTAATCTGAATATAATAAATTGATAAATTAACCCTAGTCTGAATAGGACCCTGTATGTTAAAACTGAACTCAGCATGAAGGAACCAGAGGGAATTTATCATTAGAATGTTATATATATATATATATAGTATACTGGGGAATAATGAAAATATACTGATGTTCATTCATACTGTAAAATCTAGCATTCCCCTGTATGTACCAGGGAACTCTTGGATCTTTAAAATTTAGAACTGACAACTTATTTCCAGGTCAAATCAATGTTGTCATAATGGGAGAGGGAATCAGGGAATCAGGGAAAGTGAGGCATTTGATCAGATCAGGTCTGATCCTAGTTGGTGCTGTGTACAAAACAGAAGAATTAAAGGGACACTATAGTCACCAGAACAAATAAAGGTTACTGTAAACTTAGTTATAGTCGAGTGCCCCAAAAAAGGGATTAAT